ACATGCAAAATCTTTATAATGTCCAGATAGTTTCTTAAGAAAGATCTTTATATTTTATCTGTTATTTTCACTAATGAATCTCAGTACGGGTTCAGTAGATTTGATCAATCTCATAACCACCATAAAAAATTAGGAAATAAATATAAATTGTGCATCTTTCATTCTAGAATGAACATAAATTATAACACGAAAACATAAATGTTTAGACTAAATATCTTAAATCTCATAACATTATATATATATTTATTATTTTTATTATATTGACCTTTCAGCTGTACCTGGCTGACAATACAGAAGTTACAATGATGTGGCACACGTGCACTCATGTTATCATATCCAATAACATAAAACTTACCTTTGGTCTTTACAGAGTAACCTGTCTTGGCTGTGTTTTAGTAGCCTAGTACTTTATAAAATACAGTCACATTTCAATTATTATACATTATATATGTAAATAGATTATTGCTATTTACAAATAAGTTCTTAAACTTAGTTTTCTTAAAACATAGAACAGTAAATAAAGAAATAAAGCAAACAATTATCTCTTCTAGTTATGACCTTTGTACTTGGTTGCTGCTTGGCATAGGTTGCTGAGCCTTTCAAAATTTTGCATGTGCAGGATATGAAAGAAAATAATTTTTTATGTGTTATATATACAATTGAATAACTAAAAAAATCATAAATTACTACATCAATACCATAGAATTTCAAGCTTAGTAACTAAACTGTATTTTAGTATAAAAAAATATAAAATTTTGAGCACACTAAAGACACAACCTACCTCCTCGAAATCTTGGTTCAAAAGAAAGAAATGGCGTCTTAAGAATTTAAAATGGCCAAGAAATCCACTAGGGGACATTCTGAGCTTTCATTTGATTATTCATGTCATATATAGAAGTAAGTGTATATAAGGGAGTGTTTCCAAAAATGGAAAGAGGTTGGTGGGGTGCCACTGTGTTTGATTTATTACATGAGCAATATTTTAGTAAATAGAAAATATAAGACATTCTTATTTTATATTCTAGCATGTCAATATTGGTAATTTGGGTTTCTGATTTGTACAAATCTATAGACTTAGTATTTTGCTTCACAAACATCTAATTTGAACCAGTGCTGCATTT